GATGATGATGATGATGATGATGATGATGATGATGATGATGATGATGAAAACAAGGACAGGGTGGCTAGCACACCTGTCTAAATCCACCCAGCTGCTGGTACTGAGGTGGAACCAGGCAGCCCCAGAACCCACACTCCTAATTACCCGTGCACCTAACCCGGGGCACTGCCATAATGGTAAATGGAGAAGGTCTGGGGCAGATGGGGATGAAGCCTGATTTTTCTGAGTCCCAGCAACATGTGGCTCCCCATGTCCCCTCCTAGAGATTCAGGTATCTTCATTCTCACCTTACTGTAAATAAGACTCTGAGTAAGGAAGTTACTAATTTGGCACTTGGAAGATGGAGGCAGGAGGATCATGAGTTTGAGGCCAGCCTGGGTTACATAGTGATAACCCTGTGTGAAAAACAAAGAGGAGAGGAAGACTGAAGAGGAGGGGAGAAGGGTGGAGTAGAGAGGAGAGGGCCTCTGTTCAAGGTCACTCGTCAAGGGTCTGAACTTTGTTTTATTTCAAGCACCCCCAAGTATCTGAACAGAACTTCCAGGGGACCCTCAAAGCGGCAGAGTGCTAACTGTACATTTACAGCCCGTGTTGTCCTGTGTTCTGGCAACAAAGCTTACCCGAGACAGGCCTCATCATTTCCATTTACAGACAAGGAAACCGAGGCCCAGGGAAGCTGTCATCTTTGGCAGTGTGATGAGTCTTTGGTGTTTACCCACTTTCTGCCATGGGAACTGAGAATCCAGGCAGATGTTGCTAGCATGTAGGAAGGAAGAAGACTGAGGACAGAAGGGCGGGATGGAGAGGCAGTAAGGATAGTCTTCTATCTCAACATTTTGGAGTCAGAGCGGCCCTGAGACAGGGAAGGCAGGATGAAGCTATTGGCCACGGGACCATGGATGCATCAGGTCATTAGAGTTGGCTCTAGGAGAACCGGTCCCTTAACCCCAGCCCATCTCCCATTAACGTGGAGAGGACTGCCTGCTGATGCTGGATGCTCTGCCAGCTTCTTGCAGTAGGCTCTTCTCTCTGCCTGCCTGGAATTGTACTCCACACATCGCCAAGGTCAGTGCCAGCCCAGGAGCCTGGTGCCCAACAATGCAAGTCTTCCTGCCGACACACAGATCGGGCTAGTTGGGGCAGGCTGACTTGTTCCAGTGTCCAGCTCCCCCTCAGGCAGTGGAGATAAGAAAAAGTGACGTCTCTGGCTTCGGTATGCCTGTCTCTCCAATGGGAGTGAGAGAGAAAAATGCTAACTCCCCAACGGTGCAAGTCCTGCTCTAGACAGTTCATGCTAACTCTGCCACGCTCAGAGCAGCCCCCTAAAGATATGGCTAAAGATGAGGCACGTGTCTAAGCCCACACAACCAGGAAAGGTTACAGCCAAGGTCTCTTTGAGCAAGCCTGCCTGAATCCCATCACCAATGCATGGGCTTACCAGTGGCAAGGTATGGGCACATGCCCTCCAATAACTAGCTTAGGACCAGACAAGACCACCTTGCCTCCCAAGAGAGGCAGAAGAAGGCAGCAGTGGGACCTGGAGCCCTAGAGATTCAGCTTCCTTGCTGGGGAAGCCTGCTCACCCACATTCCTTGCCTCTAAAGAAAGCACTGAGCCCAGCATGGGAGGTTTAGAGTTGCTCCAATCCAGGCTGGGATCGCAGGGAACCTGGATAGTTTGGAACACATGGGGCCTGGGACTGTGTCTCAGACCATCTCTCACCAGGCAGGCCAGTGGTTTGAGCGGGCTAACCTTAGTCCCTCTCCTCTATAGCTCAGGCCTGACCTCAGAATCTACAGGCTCCCCAGCAATTCCAGATGGGGATGGAGGTCCAGAGCTTGAAGAAGGGACAAGCTCTCAGCCGAGCGAGAGATGGCTTGCCAGTGTTCCACCCACTGCCTCTGAGAGGCCCTTTTGTGCCAGCTCTGCCCCACCCCCTATTTGCCATCTGCCAGGACCCTGGAGGCTGGTCACCCTTGGCTGCCGGGTGCGCTCACATGATGCCCCCATCTGATGTGAGTCAGAAGGCAAGGCCATGCTGAGGACCGGGATGGGTGCATGAAGCCCTACTCAATCTTAGGGGGAGGGTGCAACACTGGGGTTTGGGTTCTGTGTTATCACACTTCCCCCAACCTCTCCACCAGCACCTCTCACACCCCTCTCAGGGCCCTGCCACTTCCCCTACTGCTTAGAAGTCCATGCCACATCCCACATCCCACATCCCATGGAGGGCTCAGCATCCACCAGACAGGAGATCATCTACAGTGGCCCCCTCCACGGCTGTCCTGCCCAGGCTGCCTTCTTCCCTCACCATGCGGGATCCTGAGTAAGCAGGCCATCCTCACGGACCACACTACCCTGTCAGAGCTCTGTCTGCTCTCTCCCCTTCCCCTTCCTTGCAGCTGGACTCTCACCTCCACTTCTTTCTCCTCAGCCAGGAAGTCATCCCTAAGCCTAGCAGCCAGGGGCTGAGCAGCCAGGCCAGACCCACAACATCCATCCTCTGCCCGACCTGCCCTGTTGCCTGGTCCTCCCGCCATTGCTTCCCCTGCACGGAAGATTGAGACCCCCTGGCATGACACCAAGCGTGCTGAAGTGACCCACATCAGGTGCAGGACTGCAGCTGGCCCCACATCTCCGAGTTCTCATCGTTCCCCCAAACTCTCCCCATATTACATTCTCCGCCATGGACATTCCAGCCATCCGTTCTCAGACACGGTTCCCTCCTCTTCTGCCCAGTTCAGAGCCCGACCCACTCCCCATTTCTCACAGACCCCTAGCTCCTGCCACCTCCTCTAATCCCCTCATCTCCCTCTGCAGCCACACCCCCCTCACCAGCCTGTCCCTACAGGAGGGAGATGCCACCTCCAAGCCACCTCAGACATCCTCCTAATCAAAGATGAGACCAGGAGCCAGGAGCCTGGCTGGGATTCTTGGAGTCAAGTCCTCAGCCCGTGGGAGGCAGAGTGGCAAGGATACCCCCCCATGCCAATTTAACAATGTAGAGAGAGGTCAGGTGAAGTCGCTTTGACCAAGGCAGGCTGTAACTCAAGTTTCAAAGGAAGATACAGTCTGGCCCCAAAAGCTAGTAACGTCTCTGAATGGGGCTGAGATGGCCACCCAGGGACTGGCCTGAATTCTGGGGACCCTCAGCAGCCTGCAGCTCCAAATGACCCAAGCTGCCCCTTCCCACAGCCTCTGACTCCTGGGGGCACGTAGGGAGGGGGCCACCTACAAGTTCCAACTGACCTTATTTGCCTCACTGCTCGCTGTGCCCTAGGACCCAAGAGAGCCCTCAGTAGGCACTGAGTGGATGCATAAGCGACCTCCTTTGGCTTTCTGAAGAAGGTATGTGATTGTCCCCACCCCTGCCACCCGTCCCACATCACAGATGCCTAAGAGGGGAAGGGGGACAAAGGGGCTCTGCCCCTCCTTGCCCCACCCCCTCAGTAAAATGAGCCCCTTGGAGGCCCTAACGGTTACCACCAGATGGCTGGTTGGAAAGTGGTGAGGACAGGAACCCTGCCCCCATTTCCTACACCAGGGGAGGGGGGACTAAGGTCCTATCAGGCCCAAGCAGCTGGGGGCCCTGAGCTCTTGTGGTTAATGGGTAAGGAGCTCTTGGCCCCTTGGCTTCACTTCCCAGGACTCTTAGTCCACGTTTCTCCCGTTCAGACCGGAGGCCTCACGGGGCCTTCCTTCCTGGGTTTCTAAGTGTTAGACTGTGCTGTCTCTGGGGTCTTGTTCTGTCCCTAAGGGAAGTGACTGGGGAGGCCAGCTTCAGGGGTACTGTGCTCAGTCCACCACAGTGCCCTCTTTTGGAGCCTGGCTCTCCGTCTCCAGACATGCTGTGTGACCTCAGGTCAGCCGCCTGCCCTCTCAGAGTCTCCCTTTTCCCAACCCTGCAATAGGAGCGGAGATCTCTGTAGCCTAGGCAGGCCTTGAACCTGAGAGCCTCCTGCCTCCGCCTCCCCAGATGCTGGGATTACAGGGGTGCATGTGCCCCCACATCTAGCTGAGAACAGTGACTGAAAGTCCCAAGGCACAGATGCCACACTGCTGGGCCCAAGACTGTTATCACTCAAGCCTTGCTTTTCCCGAGGCCCAGCGAGGGGCTCCGAAAGTCTGATTCCATCTGATCCTGTCCCCTTTCTCAGCATCTTTCAGTTTACACACATCTCTATGCTAGAGACCCCCACAGTTGTACTCATTTGAGCTAAGCCCCCCCCCCCCCCCCCGCCCAAGATTCCTTTATGGTCTACACTCTCTTCTTAGCAGCCGCCTCTCCTCCCACCTACTGGCCGCCCTTAGTCCCGTACCTGTTGCCAGGCAGAGGGCTCTGGAAGGAGTCAGGCAGCTGGACCCCCTTTCAGGATTCACCTCCAAGGCTGAATCTGCCAGTCTGGGGCTCTCGTGGGTAAGAGTGGGAGAGAGAGCAAGAGCTAGCTAGCAAGTGCACTGGCAGGGGCGGGGTGTGGGGGGGTAGGGGCAGACTCCTGGCAGCCGGCAGCCCCTCTGCCACAGTCAGCAGCCTGTGCGGAGCCGGAGAACCGGAGGGAGAGCCGGGACACCCTCCTGCCCTAGCTCAGCTCCTCCCTTCAGGCTGGGGATGAGATGACTGGCTGTGAGTCATGGCTTTCTCAGAGGGAGGCAGGAGGAGGCAGGGCTGACAGAGGTGAGGCGGGGACCCTGAGGGGATGCCCATGACTCAGGCCTGGCAAGTGGGAACCTGGGTCTCACCTCTAATCATCTCAGAACCCCGGTGCCGGTTTCAGGGATAGGAATGAGCCGGGATGACTATGCCTCCTCACCCCCCTATTATCAAGGTCCCTGGGGGCTGCCCCTCCTGAAGGTCGGTCAAAGAAACCAATTTGCCATGGCAACAGGCCACTCAGATGCTGTCCCCTCCTCCAGGCACAGCCAACAACTGCCCCTTCCTGAAGGACAGCCTAACCTCCTTGGCAGCAGGCAGGAGTCAGTACTGACTGGCAGACTCCTGGAGGAAGGGGGTGTCAGGCCGCTGGCTTGAGGCCATGCTGACCTGTGTCTCCGAGCATCTTCTTCCCAGCAGGAAGCCAGGTCAGAGTTCCTGGCTCTCCGTCAGCTGCAACCTTTCAAAGCCCACGTCCTAGACCCTAAGACCCCCAGGGAGTTCTAGAAATAGTCTGTCTGCTGAATCAAATGGGAAACTGAGGCCCAAATAAAGAGCCTTTTCAAAACCTCAGAAAGAGTAATTTGGAAATGGGCCAACCCCACCATGCCTGCTCGAGCCGGTCGTCTGTGTTAGCTGTTCCCTCCGCTTCTGAGGTTCGTTGGTCCTGCACAGCCGGGAGTGGGGAGTAGGAGGTATTGGGGGGAGGTAGGGGGATAAGCATAGGCCTCCAGAGTGAAGTCTCCGGTCTTTCCTCTCCATAGGGTGTGAACAAACGAGTCCTGGGTGGCAAGCGCGGTGGGGATTTCACAACCTAACGAGGGCAAGCGGTAACAATAACAATAATGGCAGTAATGGACTAATAGCGATCACACTGCCGGCATCCTGGCCTTCCCTCGTGCCTTCTTCACGCTTAATGAGACTCAAGAAATATTCTCCAGGAATGGAGTAATGAAGGAAGAGGGCAGGGCAGAGGAAGGGAATTAACTTGTTCAAGGTCACACGGCTGGGGAAGTGACGGGATCAGGCCGGGAGCCCAGTGGTCCACCTCACAACAGTGCCATTGCGTGAGGTGACGGCACACAAGCGGGTAGCTTATCCAAGGCCACACAGTTAAGATGTGGGTGGGCCTGTGGCTCTCGGCAAACACCTATCAGGTGCAGGCCCTTCATCTCATCACTTCCACCATGTCTCCACCATACAGAAGAGGCCCCAGGGATAAAGAAAGAAGGGACTCTTGGCTTCACCTTTCAAAGGCTAAAAGTCAGGTATGAACCGAGTGATGCCAGAGCCCCTGCTGAATATTGAAAGGAGAAGACAGGACCGCCAATAAACAGAGAGCCACAGAAGGGCCTTCTGGGGGACAGCAGCAGGGATAGAGAGGTGAGGAGAGCCATTTTTGGAAGGAAATAGAACCTGTTGAAGAAATGGGGGCATATGGAGGACGATTTTGAATGCATGGAACTGGAGGGCTCATCAAAGGCATTGGGAGCCACTGAAGGTGTTTGAGTAAGGGGTGCCTGTGCTCAGCATTCAAGTTATGGTCACAGGCACACAGATTATGAGAATTTGTCAGAAATCCCAGGTCTCAGATGTGCCCCAGATCTGTCCCATGGGATGCCCAGGCAGCCACCGTGTGTGGCAAAACTTAAGGAACTCTTCTCTCCTCTAAGGGCTTGAACTGGGTGCCCTGGGTGGGGTATGATGCAAGAAGTGTGGGCAGGGGGCTGGGCCCCAGGCAGGGCCCTGAAGATGAAACAAAGGAAAGCTGGAGTGAAGACTCTCATCCAAGAGACCAGGTGCAGGGCTGGGGAAAGCCAGTCAGGGAGGGAGGAGGTATCAAAAGCATCTCTGATGTGTATAGTTGGGGATGGGGTGCAGATCTGGGAGGTGGGAAAAGGCAGCCCTAATGCCTGCTGGGATGGGAGCCATACATCCTCTCTGCTGTCCATGGCCATTGGAAACATGGTGTCGGGGTTCAGCCATAGAACTGTGGCTCCACAGAGAGGGTTGTGGGGCTACAGACTGGTGACAGAACCAAGGATGGGGTAGGGGACACAGGAAGCTGATGGTTGCTCCTTCCGTGTAAGGGATAGAAGGGAGGCAATGCTGATGCTGATCCGGAGCCAACAGGCTACAGCAGACTCTGCCAGCTGGAGACTTGGGCAAGCGTCTCTACCCAGCCACCTCTTTGCTGTCGGTTGAGGACAAACATGGCACCTGCCCCCTCGGCACTTAGGAGAGACCTTCAGGGGCACATGAACCCCAGGATATTGATAGCAAAGAAACAGGGCTTGTGACTGCTGTGGCTGCTGCCTGAGACAAGGCCTGGGCACAGAGAAAGATGGAGTGTGTGGCTGGTGGAACTTCAGAGGACATTCAGGCCTTGCTCTCTTTCTAACCTGCCAGAGAGAATAACAGGTTGCACAAGCTAGCCTGGTGAACAGCAACGAGCTGTGCCCACCCTTGCCAGGGACCCAGACAGCCACTACCTGCTTAGAGATGGGATTTTACTGGGCAAGAAGAGTTCAAGCACAGGTTTCTCTTGCAAGCTCAGTGGAGCACAGTGCTTAGTATACAGATGTGGAGTACACACAAGGGCACAAAGTTCCAGCTAATAAACATCCAGCATCCCCTCTGTATAACAAGAGCAACCCCTCCATTTTTCAGAGATAAAGGCTCAGGCCCAGAAAGAGGGCCTTCCCAAAGCCCCTCCCCCCACAATCCTATAGCCTATAACCGAAGATGTGACAGTATTATACTCCCAGACACCTCCCTGCTCCCTTTATTCCCGTGGGAAAGCCTCCTGCCCACAAGCGTGGGGGAAGCCACAGCCCCCGTGATAACGCCACCTCCTGTCCCGTAGCCCCAGGGTCCAGCATGCATGGCGGTGCCCATGTGACTCAGCCACCCTCACAAAGGCATCTGTGTGCCAGTGCCCGGGACAGACTTTCCCACTGTAGGCCATTCCCTTCCCCTAGCCTGGGAAGAGTATGAAAGCCAGACTGGCCCACGATGAGGAGAAAGGGGGCCCCTCTCAACTGTTAAAGTGGGCTGCTAAGCCTCGTGGGGATTCTAGCCTGGTCTTGGGGGTTCAAGGACACCCTGCCAGATAAAGTAGAATGAAGGCTAGCCAAAGTATGTAAGTTGTATGTCTGCCCAAGCCTGCTTTCTGAGACCTTATTTGGAGTCCACGCCCAGCTCGCTGTGGGCGGAGCCAGGCAGAAGCCCGCCTCTATTTACCTGCCACACATTTTCAAAGCCCTGGGGTTGTGGTCTGAAAGAGTCACACCCCCCAAAAGCCCGGCAGAAATCTTTTAATGCCCTCCTGGCCACAGCCCTGTCCCTCTTCATCCCTTCTCAAACAGTCACTTGCCATATGTCACACAAGTGACTGGTGCTTTCTCCTTCAACCCTGCCAAGGGCCTTTGCCTTATTTACCGGGAAGGAGCCCGCCAGCCCAGTGTTACGACCCGAGCCAGGGTCTGACCTTTTGACAAGTTCCTTTCCCCAAGTCCCTCCTCTTCCTGGTCCCAATGACATTTGACGGCATGCCAAGAAGTGGCCTTGGTCCCTAACGTGGACACACTTCCTTTCTCTCTGTGCTCCCCTGGTTCCAGCCTGCAGGGAGGAGGCCACTCCAATGTCCTGTTCCCTAGACAAATTCAGGCTGGCTGGGCTCCAAGGCCACCCCCCACTGGCTGCCCTCGGA